TTCGCGTGTACGTATATTTATAAACGTAGGCGCGATGATCGAGAGAGGTGACGCTTGCTTTTTTCTGCGAAGATCGATCTTTCGAGGATCGAGGAGAATCTATTAGAATTTTGATGTTATAGGGAGCAACGATGGAATAATTATTTAATTTATCGAGCGAGTCATCGAGTTTTCGTCAAAGGTAGAACAGTGGCGATGTAATTTGCGAAGAATTAATAATATGGACAATTAAACATAGAGCGGGAAATTTCGTATTAAATTTATCATGGAAATAAACGTTCGCGTTTTCATCGACATCCGGTTTTAAAATCGCGTTACCTTTGTTGTTTATTCATTACGAAGTAGCGTTCCCACTTAACGAAACCGTTTGGTCGAATAGCGTTAATATCGAATAAGCTGATGATTAACGCGGAAAGTAATCAAGCACACGTGACGTTGAAAGTACACTCGTGAAAATTGATTAAAAGATTTCTAAAATAGCGTGTCTCGAATATCGTGGACGATAACGCAGTGAAACGTTTAAAAAATTAATAAAGAAACAGAAATCTGCAAAAATTATTAACTTCATATAATAAATCGTAATTTATTTCTTCTTTAAGGAGAGAATTTTCTATATATATATATATATATATGGTAGCGCATTCACAAAACCAACTCTAAGCCCATTCCACCACGATCCAATTATTCCACTTACTCGCTAATCGATAGACGAATCTTAAGCGCTCCTCCTCGACCCCGTTATTTCAAGCAAATCGGCCTCTTCTCCGCCCGAGCGTCTTCGATCAGTTCGACAAGGGAGGGGGGACGCGAGGCGACAGTGTCAGTTGCTTAAACATCCTGGCGTAGAAATATCGAGGGGAATCTGGGTCAGTCCTTATCGTCAGCGCCAACCCTCGAAATAACGGGCTGCCACACCCCTTTCGCTGGAACATCCCCCGGCTAAAACTCCCGAGGTAGAAGGAGGAGGAAGAGGGGGAAGACTCGTCATCATCGATAAACCATGATCGAGCCACCGACCGCAAATCATTTCGGCCCCATTTCATTCACCGATCACGCCTGATCGTTGCCATGGCGATGTACGTACGTACGTATGTTGCCTCTCGAAACCGAACTGAAAAAAGACTATAAAGATAAAACACACATATACATATACACACGTATACCGGTGTCGAGTTTCGAAAGTCAGCTTTTTCCTTTGTTTGGTTTAAGATACTTTTGCGCTTCGGTCTTTAGGAGTAGAGAAAATACTCTTGCGGTATAAATAACAATTTACAATTAATATGAAAAATTATTGTCCATTGAATTCTCGATTTTCGGGATTTTCGTTATTCAATTATTTCGTTTTCACGAGCAATTTTATCTATCTCGTGGTGAAAGAATGAAAAAGTTATTTTCGTTCTTCGTTCTTCTTTTTCTTCTTTTTTATTTATCCAACGAAATTGATATACCATACAGGAATGAGGATAAGGCGCAGTTGTCACGCGGTTCGTAAACCATGGATAGAGGGAAGAAGAAAAAGTGTAGCACGCTTACGTATAACGCAAGGGTGAAGAGACTCTATTATTGTAAAGCAGCGGACGATGAGCCCAGAAATTGCGCTCCAGAGAGATGCATCCCTCTCTACCTGCCCTCCCTTCCCCCTTCTCTCCGTCCCTCTCATTTCACCCTCTCTTTCACTCGCGTTTTATCGACAAAATTGCATTTTCCCTTGGTTCAGCATCGCTGCCCGCCGGCCGACACGAACGTGCACGCGCACAAACACAAACTATAGATGCAACTATTAACGTCTCTACGTAAATCGATCGTTTCGAAAAGATCAAAGATTTCGAACTTTCGTCGTTAAACGTCCTTTCGATATTTCTTCAAATTTCAACCGTTTATTTGATTCTATCTGGACACGAAAGTGTTCCAGTCCATGGAACATCCTGTAACTTACTTTCACGTGCGCTCGCGGCTTCCACCAGACGAATCCGTAAATTTATCGTTTAAACTTCGATTTTATAATATCTCAATACATCTATTTTAATTTTAATCGTTATAAATTATCGATAAATTTTTTTTTTTTGTAAATTAAAGTTAAGTAATTACTTCGTATTAGAAATTTACACGATGCAATAATTTGTCAATGATTTTTTATATATTCCATGTAATAAGAGTCGAATATACGAAAGTAGAAACTTTCTACTTTTTTTTGTTGCCATATTTGATTTGCAAAACTATATTAAAAGTAATCTAGCCATTGATATTTATGGATATATTATAATATATATGCATTTCTATCTATTTATTATATTTTGAAGAAATAAGCAATAATAATATTCCTAATATGCAGTATGTCTTCTTACAATGCTTTTTTCATTTTATAATTTTCAATTTATAAGATGGGATTGTCGAGGACATCCTTTTTTTAAAATACCAATTTTTTCAAGTTCCAGTTTATTATATGTTCGTCAAATTCGAAGCGCTTTCTAAGTTAATTACTTGTTACAACTTTTTTCTACATCTGCCACGCAATTATTTTGCGCGATTAAGGCTTCGAATCACAAATATTTATATATTTTCCATCGATTATTATGTACTTTCTTTTTTATTCCATATTAATTAAATGCAATATTAATTTTCTTTTTACGTTTTACACGCATTTTTAATGAAACGATAAAGCGGTATCGTTTTCTAAAAATTTGAAACACAAAACTGAAAGAAAATAGAGTATATCTCATCCTTGCCTGGACACAAAGTTCCATTTAAGATCCAACGTAACCAATCTTCGTTCTTATATATAGGATAGTATCCTCGAGTTTTCTCAACAAACTATTGTCACGCTATAATTGTGATCAGACCGATGTAATTTCCAAGAGCGTTGAAAGTTCTCGGGAAGAATCGTTGCGAAGTTTCGAAATTACGAAAATTGGAAAAAATTGGAAAATCCTCGAAGGAAAGGGATCGAAATTGAATTGGATTGATTCTTCATATAAATTATATAAATATAATTACGTGAAAAGTGAGATTAGATCGCGTGGAATTTGTGGAAATGAATTAGGAATTTAAATACATTTAATAGATCCATTAATGGAAATCGTTCGAGCGTTAAGTATTCGTTGGCAAGTTTAAAAATAGATAAGATAAGATAAGGCTGAATAAAAATTGGCGTCCTGTTATTTCTATATATATATATATATATGCCCGCGCGTATGCTCGTTTCGAGGCATCGATAAAAATCGATCGAGTAAAAACCGCTCGGTTGGAATTTTATCCGTTAAGCTTAAATTTTTACAGACCGGCGATCCATAAAGCCGGAGTTCGTAAAATTGTCGACATTAATCTGTGCCGCCTATAAACGTGCGCACCGTGAAATCCTTTTAAATGCGCGCAGGCAGAATGAAAACTTTAATTGAAACGTCAAGCAATATACAATTAAAAACTAGGTTCAATCCCGAAGAACGAAGAACGATTTGCTATTTCTAATTTTCGATGAAGTCATCTTCTATATATATATATATATATATATATATATTATATTTTTAAACATATAAGAAACATAAGACGCGTTGAAAAAGTTAATCGTAGAATTTTTCAATCGTAGAAAATTTTCAAAAGAACGAAATTCGATTTGCTATTTCTAATTTTCGATGGTCATCTTCTATATATATTATATTTTTAAACATATAAGAAACATAAGACGCGTTGAAAAAGTTAATCGTAGAATTTTTCAATCGTAGAAAATTTTCAAAAGAAATTCGATTTGCTATTTCTAATTTTCGATAAATTCATTTTCTATATATATATTTTATATTTCTAAACATACAAAAAACACGAAGCGTTGAAAAAGTTAATCGTAGAGAAAATTTTTAAAAGAGCGTTCTAATTCAACAGTATTACAAACCTGATTAATATTTTATTGCATATTTTCTCGTTTTAATTCTTTCATCTCGCAAAAGGAAAGATGCTTTTCCTTATTTTTTTTTTTTTTTTTTCGAAGAAGAGTGGAGAGTCTCGGATTCGTTTCGCGGGGAAACTCAATTAAACGGAGTATTGCAATTAAGCTCTCGAATGGAGGGGGAGAAAAAGTTGAAGAAACCTCCTCGGGCCCCGCTTCGAAAATCGAGGGAAGGAGGGAGCAGTGGCTGATTGGCATTCGATAAATTCATTGGCAACTCGCCCTCTCGTTCAAATCTATGAAAATAATCCACCAATTTTTCTGAACGATCTTCCTTCCCCACTCTCCGTCCCTTCTGCAGTTAATTCTCTCTCAAGATTCAAGATTCTCTTGCGACGATGTTCAATTATATATATCTTCACGATCGAGATTCGTTTGGAATTTTATATATCGTGATATATAAAATAATATCGAATCTTTTTTTGAATTATCGACGATGAATTCGTTCAATTCGTGATTTATTAACGCGTGAAAATTTATGATTAGCGATTTATTGACGAGGGTTAACGCTACGATGCGTTATTGATAAAGTTCTGATACGATTTAGCATCATTCATCAACATGATATTCACAGCTCATTGATTAATTAAGGTTTAATGGACCGAATCTATTTGGAGGATGCATAGAATTTTCGTAGTGATCGGCAAAGCAATCAGAATATGCAAATTTTCTCAAATTATGGATTCTTCGAAGCCAATCCACGTTTTATGATGTATTAATATTATCGTTAAAAATTCGTTAAAAAAATATTTTCGATATATCTCACACGTCATGATAATTGAGAAGACGTTTAAAAATTTAAGAACGATAAATATACTTTTAATCCATAATAATTGTTTTGCTTAATTCGTTAAAAAAATATTTTCAATATATTTCACACGTACACGTCATGATGATTGAGAAGATGTTTAAAAATTTGTGAGAGAACGATAAACAAATATATATACTTTTAATCCATAATAATTTTTTTGTTTCCTTTATTTAATACACGCCGATAATTTTCGATCGATTATTGTATAATTTTCGAGCAATTGTTAATAATAATTCGATGATTTTTGCGCAGGTGGTGACGCCACAGAAATGCGGCGACGTGTACCTTTACGATCTTCCAGCGAGCCGAGGAAGTCCTGCTCCACCCTCCAGGCACGATTCACCCTTGAACTCGAATAACGAGCATTTACACAACTCAGGTGCGTAGCAACCCCTCATTTTGTTCCGCTAACGACGTAACAACTTCAATACAAATTCCTCAACCTCCCGCTGAAAGTAGAAACGTATTTCTAAAACAAAATATTCCTCGCAATATTCTTTTTATCTCTGCAACTTAATCTTTTCCTTCGTTCCGTTTATTAAAATAAAATAATCATTCATGATTATAGAATCAGATCAGACCCTTTCGATCGAGACTTTTAATATTTAAACGAAAGTAATAAAATAGAAAATAAAATTGTACATCATCTTGCTGGGTAAATATACGATATATTTAATATCCCCGTTTCAATATCGATATCTCGTTTCGGATAAATAACAAACACGTATATATGTATTTTCATTTATATCTACTCTCTTTTCGTGCAGAATCTCGTTTTCGCTCGCCGTACGTTTTATTAATTACGAATTGCGTTCTTTCGGCGCATGCGCATTGTTCCGGTTTTTGAACGCATCTGTTTCCTATTTTATTCTCCCGTAAGAAATCCAAACGTTGAACGTCTCGTAAGATATGTCCTTCGGTTCGAGAAGAAAAGAAATGTTCGAAAAAATTTTACTCTTTCGACAAAGCAATTATGTTAATCGGTTCTAATCGGTTGTTATTTTACTTTTGTTTATTGGACATTCGATTGGAAAACAAGATATTTCTATAGAAAGCGTTTATTGAGAATCGATATTTCCTCGAATGGGCCGAACCTCCCGGAATCCTTTCATTAAAAACGAATTGTTATTGCGAGTACAATTTCCATCTCCATTCAAAAACCAACAAAGGATCGTGAATATACGAACGCGGTCTTACAATATTTGCAATAAAAAAACTTTCCGCGCGCGCGCGTCTCAATATTATCGGAAGATCAATAATAACGTTGGTTGGAAAAATTTTTATTGTCCATTTGCGTAAGATGTATTGTGCGCCAGGTTATAATTCATAAGGTTGTGTTTCGAGAAAGTTAAATAAAAATTGCTGTTCGCACAATTGTTCGAAAGAGAATACTGGTATTTTTTTTTTTTCTTTTTCTTCTTCTTTTTTTACACGTAAAAGAAAAAAAAAAGGTATGTTTCCACACGCATGTTCCATCGAAAAATCTTAAGTCGAATCTAAGTTCCGTGACGACGAATCAAAACGACGGTGTGCACGATAATAAAGCTCGGTTAAATTATTTGAAACAGTTTACAATACCGTATTAATTTATTTGCCGAGTATTTCCACCGATCGAGATACCATTGTTCACGGTTGGTGAATTTTTTTTAAAAGGAAAACACGGGTGGAACGGGGTCAGTCAGTCGACAGGAGAACCGTGACAGGATCAGCAATCTCTAAAGATCGAGTCGAGGCCCCGCAAGATAACTTGGTAATTTCCTATCCAAATGCCTCTCCCCTCCTCTCGATCGATGTCCCGATCAACATACACACGCGATTCTTGAAAGAATCATTCGAAGATAGAACACGCATAAACAAGATATCTACACGGTGCATCCTTCCTCGTAAACGTGGATAAGAAAAAAAGAGAAATACAATAGATAATTGGAGATTTCTCTTTATTAAACGAGAAATTCGAGCAGTCGTTAGTCGTTAATAATCGTAGAGAAGTTGTTCAGAATAAAATATTTTTACTAATTACTATCAGAAACGAAGAAAAAAAAAAAGAGAGAGAGAGAATTGTTTACGAATAGATGATTAGCAACATATCATGGAGCAAAATTAAATTTAAATATCTCCGTTTTATGATCATTAGGATTTATTTTATTATTTACTATTGGCGGATTAACAGGAATTATATTATCTAATTCTTCAATTGATATTATTCTTCACGATACATATTATGTTGTTGGATATTTTCATTATGTATTATCAATAGAATAAGAAATATATATCTGCGCAGGCCGATACACGACGAGCAGCAGGAATTCCGTGGACAACGGTGGCGACGTGAGCGATTGTTACGACGTGCCACCACGAGCCATCCCCGTGATTCCATCGCCTGCGAGCAGTCCGAGCCCTGCACCTTCGTGCTACGACATCCCAAGGCCGCCTACCTCCTGCACGCCGATCTCGAACTGCTCAGGAGGATCGGGCGTGACGCCTCTCGATTGCTACGACGTGCCCAGGCCTCTGCAACCCCTCACCCCAAGCAGCTCGGCGTCCAGTCTCACCAACGATGGATCCCTCAGCGGATCGAATCGGTACGTGATTCTCACGGGATGCGACACGAATGGCTATCATCCTTTTCTTTGTTTCATCGTCGTCTAAACGAGGATGAAACGTTCGATGAGAGGGGTTTAATGAGTCGATACGTGACGATGATCCGGTTTATGGACGTGTCGTTTGTAACGTTGCCTCGATAACAGAGTCGTTTCCAGTGTTTTCTGATGATATTTTTCCTCGCGTCGATTATTCTTTTTCTTCTGTTCAGTTAAATTAAGGCACACGAACGATTATACCGACCGCGGGTAACATAAATTCGGTGTATCTTTGTAAATTTATTAAAAACGTATACGCAGCAGGTATTGTACACCTGTTTGCCTCTACAAACACGTGTAATAAGTGCAAACAAAATATTTTTATTAATTACTGTCAGAAACGAAGAAAAAAAAAAAGAGAGAGAATTGTTTATCGTTGAACAGAAATACGATTTTCGCCAACGTTACAAAACAATGAAATAAAATCACGATTAAATTACCATCTCCGTCAAAATTATTCAAGCGTTAAATTTCACAGGGGAGTATAAATCAACGGTACACGTTTCAACGTTAAATACCAGACGCGAGCCGCATTACCTTTATATTTAGCATCTCACCTCTTCTGTATAATCACGAGCTACGCTTTAGGAACTCTAAAATTCTTTCCTCGTAACTAGCCATTTTATTAACGGTCAATGCAATTGAAATTAAACCGTGTACCGTGTAGCTTTTGATGTTTTGGTATTTCGTTAAGGCAATTTCGTTTTTGTTTGCGGTAACTATCAGCCGTGAACGTTCGAGGCGTCAACATCGAGTACGTTGAACTTTATACGCATTAGCTAGCGTAACGAGACATGCGGCTGCTAGGAAGTGATTTATTTCTAGAGCTTGAACTTAAATACGGGACCTGTGCCAAAACAGCGGTCATTCCTACTACAATTTCGGAGAAATCGGCTCCGTTTACGGTTCAGAATAAGAGAACGATGATTTTTTCCCCATGATTTCGAGTACTAACTTTTAATATTATACTAATATTTATATTAATTTTATACTATTAAAATATAATGGACGAAATGATCGTATTATTACGTTAAAAATTAACGAGAGAATTATTTAATATAAACATCGTTAACTTACGTACGTTGCGATATTTGTTTGTTATTTTTATATAACGATGTTAGCGTAGTAACTTTCGCTTGTAAAATATTTTACTTTACTTTAATGCGTCGCCATCTGCTCACTCGAGCGTGAAACGTTTTTTGCCACCGTTTTGTCAGCCGATGCTCTCTCATTCCTCGCGAAACAAAGAAAAAGAAGTCGGGTGAATTTTATCGCTTGAAAAACCTGACCGTTCCAACCAGCCATCCAAACCCTATTTCCATTCGGTTTCAACTCGTTTCAAAGTTTTCCATTCGTTTAACCATTAGAGGGGCCGTTCTGACCACCGAGCGCTATTAATCAACGCCGACGGAAGGAAAGCTGGAGTAGAAATAATAGTTCCACCTAAAATATTTCGTGCAATTAGATGGATTAAAAACGAACGATGTTCAACGATCGAATAATATTTTTCAAAAATTGTAATTGCAAGAATGCTAAGAATATAACGATGCTCGTGAACAAAAGAAGAAACAGTACAGAGATTATGCTAATAAAAGGCGATTTCCGTTTCAGATCCAGCTTGGCTGCTCCGGATTACGATGTACCTAGATCGCGTCTTCCAGCATCCTCGTTACCGTCCCGGCACAATACGCCCGTGCCCAAAACACCTACACCTCCGCCCCCGCCGCAAACCCAGCAGATCTACGACGTTCCAGTCAGCAAGGAGCTTCCTCTGGAGCTGGACTCCGCTTTGGAAGGTCTACAAAGGCTGCAGAGCGAGGCGTCCGCCGCGATAGCGAGGCTATTAGGATTCGTCAGCCCCGTATGGAGAACGCCTCAGCGATTAGACGCCACGTTGATGGATCTTAGGCTCGCCGCCCTCAGACTCAGAACGTCTTTGCACGATCTGGCTGAATTTGCCGAAGGTAATCCCAACAGATTCTCAATCTTCTTCTATCTCTCTGTCGATTGCAATAATTGCTTAGACGATTAAACTATTGGATGCAAACTGAAGATCAAGATATTCTCTTCTTCAATAAAATAATTAATTAAATTTTAATGGATAAATTTCATCGTTGTATCTTACAACGCGTTTCGTCGTTGTAATGCAATGCTTGTTAACCAACGAATTTTTATTTTTCTTTTTATATATGAAACCTGATCTGATCTTCTCCTTCTCTTTCTTCTTCTTCTTTCATCTAACGATTATCGAAAATAAAATACTTTCCATTTCTCCAATTCTCAACATCTTGGAACAAAGCTGATCGTCAATTATCATAGAGAAAAATCTCTATTATCGTTCTCATTCTCTGCACGGATTTAGGCACACTTGGGAATGCGGGGAAAGCGCCGGACAAGGGATTGGCCACGAAACTGCGGCCCCTGGTCAAGGCTCTCCGCGACTCCGACAAGCTCGTGCAGGAAGCGGCCACCGAGCTCGACGCGATGGAATGGGACGCGAGCAAGCTGTGTCGCGGGGGTGGCGATGCCCCGACGCCGACTAACGGCCCACCTTCCACCATTTTGCCACCGGCGCAACCGGATCCGCTCGATCAGCTGATCGCGTGCGCCCGGGCGCTCACGGAAGACGTTCGTCAGGTCGCCAGTTTCATTCAGGTGAACATCCAACGGAACCACGCTTTCTAGCTCGGCACAATTGAGAAAAAGAGGGCTTTTATTTCCATGTTTGTTTATATATATATATATATATATATATATATATATATAGAGGAAATTCATTTCAGAGTAAATTTACAGAATTATCGAATTTTTGGGATACAACTTTTTTTACATAGATCATTGTAAAAATAGTTGAAACAATGTAATTTTATTTTTGTAATTAATTTAATTATATAATTTTTATATTTAATTTATAATTAATTTAATTATATATATTTAATTATATAATTTATATATTTAATTTATAATTAATTTAATTATATAATTTTAAAATTGTATAATTTTATTTTATAATTATATTTTCGTTGTGAGAGGTAAAAGAATTTCCTTGCTCGCGGGATATTTTTTCTCGTAATCTCCTTAAAAAAAACAATTATTTTTTCCGTCAAACACTTATAACTAGTAGTAGTTTTCATCTTAACACGTTGACTGCCCATATTCGGGTGACGCTTATTTGACTACTTATGAAGGATTTTCTTAGGTATTTGGAAAGATATTCTGCAGGGTGTAATAAAACTAAAATAATAAAAAAATAATTTATTAAAAAAATTATTTTGAATGTAAAATTTTAAAACATTTTATCCTTCGCGTTTGATTGGTCCGTTTATCGTCTTTTATCTGAATAACATAATTTGCATGCAGTCTAATATTTATATATCAGAATTATTTTTCCGATATTATGTTGACTTCGTTGAAGGTTTTGACAAGGTTTCGTTGTATTTTCAGATAATCCTAACAATTTTGCAGCTAATGATCCTCTAAATTTTCTAATTTTGAGGTATCACGAGTCTCGTGGTGATACGATTAAATAATAATTAAATAGTTTATGAATCACACGATTACCTGCTGTGACATTATGAGAATTTATATACAATCCACAACTAAGAAGTATATTTATTATAACTAGTCGAAGGGCATTCCACATATTATCCAAATTAAAATATCCAAAATATATTCAATACTATAGTCAATATAATTACTATTATCAATACTTCTGATGCGAGACATCTTGCGACTATCAACACAACTAAAATATCGGCAGAAGTACTGAAGTACACTTAACACTTTGACTGCCACGCGTGTTTCTAACCAAATCTCCTTCAGGCGCCACTGTATCAAGTGTACTTCTACGGATATTTTAATTGTTTTCATCATTTGTTTCCATTTGATGATAATAATTGTATTGACAAAGTAGTACTGATTTATTATATTTTGTATATTTTAATTTGAAAAATTTGGATAATATGATTGTCCTTCGATTACAAATAACAAATAACAAATATACTTGTTAGTTGTGGATCGTATATAAATTATTCGTGTGGCTTATCTGTTAGAGACCAGGGTCTCTCACAACATCATAGCAGGTAATCGTAAACTAATTATCGTATCACCATGAGACTCGTGATACCCCAAAATTAGAAGATTTAGAGAATTATTAGCTGCAAAATTGTTAGGATTATCTGAAAATACGACAAAACCTTGTCAAAACCTTCAACATAATATCACCGTTCGGAAAAATAATTCTGATATAAGTATTGAACTCCATGCAAATTATGTTATTCGGATAAAAGACGACAAACGGATCGATGAAACGCACGAAAGAATATAAAAAAAGACAACAACTTTTTGTCCAAATTGTCCGGATCAAGTTCAGCTTTGTATAGAATGTTTTAAAATTTTACATTAAAAATAATTTTTTTATTATTTTTATAACAATTTAATAATTTTATTACAGTACATCTTTCCAAATACCTAGAAAGATCCTTCATAAGTAGTCAAATAAGCGTCGCCCGAATATGGCGGCAGCGAACGTGTTAATTCTTTTCGTCATCCTCTGATAAATAATATGAAACTCGTGAAATTTGATCAGGGTAATTCGACGCTTCTCTTCAAACGGTCGTCGATCATCTCTACCGGGAGCAGTAACAATAGCGGGGCAGGGGAGGATTACGATTACGTGAATCTGGACTCGAGAGAGGTGGTGGCGAAGCAACGCGAGGAGGTGAGGGCGTCCCTGCCCCAGGAGCTTCGCAGCAATTACGATCTGCTGGTATCCGAATCGGACAATGCCACGATTCAAATGCCACCCACGACACCGACACCCATGGACCCAAACGACAAACAATTGTTGGCCTTCTACGCCGCCCAGGTGATCACGCATGGCAATCACCTGACTCACGCGATTGACGCCTTCATGCAGACGGTCGAGCACAACCAGCCACCAAAGGCGAGTAAACTTGGAAATCCGATTGGCTATTGTGTACCGGCGATTATAAACCGCGTGCCGTACGACGATAAGACTTCCTCTTAGTCGTAGTAGTTTAGGGGAATATTCAGACCGCTTGAAATTGGATTTGTAGACAAAAGGATTTGTGGAGGGATGTAAGATAATAAGAGGCGATGTAATAGAAATTGAATTATAGTAAGATCGAGGACGCGTAGTGTTATACTGGAATAATAGGAGGGATTTTTTTTTTTTTGTTTTTCAGAAAGAGGAATTTAATCGATCGAATTAATTAAAAAATTGTTTTTCATTGTTTTGTTCTGAAAACAGGTATTCCTAGCGCATGGAAAGTTCGTGGTGCTGAGCGCTCATAGATTGGTGCACATCGGTGACACGGTGCACAGAAACGTTATTAGGAACGACGTGAAAACACGCGTGCTAGAATGCGCAAACGCGTTGAACGAAGCGTTGAAACAGACGGTGTCGAAGACGAAACAGGCAGCCCAATTCTTTCCAAGCGTATCCGCCGTTCAAGAAATGGTCGACAGTGTTGTGGACGTCTCCCACTTGGCCAAGGATTTGAAGGTCGCGATAATTAACGGGGCGCAACAACCTTGAGCATCCAAAGATCAGGTCCTAATCTCTGACATAAACGAGGGGAAAGGAAAGAAAGAGGAACAAATTTGGATATATGCGAGCTGAAAAAGGATTTGTCGTTTTTATTTTGGAAAAGAAGCTACGTTGAATTCACGACACCTCTAACAAGTTCCTTGGATTGACTGACAATCCTAATGATCAAACAGTTACTATTCATTAGGAACGTATACGAACTGTAGTAGGAATGATAAAAAAAAAAAAAAAAAGGAATAAAAAATTTATGTCATAGATTATGTATTCATTACCGATTTGGTAGAGAAGAACAACTCATCCGTTAGGATATCGCGATGCTTAATCATCCAATCAAAAAGAGAGATAGAATCGTGAAGAAATAACGAAGAATGAAGTGACTAAATGACGGTAAAAATTACAATTCAAAAATTGATAGATTTTCTTGAATAAATATGATGAATGTAGATTAAAAAAATCCAAAATCTATTTTGGTTTGGATGATTACAAAGTAGATCTGTGAGAGTAGAAATATGAATTATTGATTGTTAAATCAACTGGACCAGGAAAGAAAACGCCAATTTGCTTTTTCGCTCGACTAGAAATTACATTCTTCCCTCTTGTTTGCAATAAAGAGTTCTCGAGGCCTATCGTTACTTAGATGTACGCAACTGCCAAAGCCACAGGTATATAGAACGTAAGGGAAAGCTCCTTTAAAATGAGCGTATGTTTCTAATGTACTCGAGAATATAGAGATCGTAGACTTTTCTAGAAAACCATGTAATCGTGTCGTACATTAGCTAGAGGTGTGGAATTAATTAAACGACGTAAAAGATCGATAGTATGTGTAGAATGCGTTCGAAATGATTCTCGAAACGTGTATTGTTTGCTTGAAAACGAGATTTATTTCGAACTTGATACGCAGTTGTCGTTGCCAGCGTGTTAATTATTGTTCTAGGTGTGTATCATGTGACGAAAACTTAAAAATAAGCAAAATATGAAACATTTTCATTTGCAAGTATGTTTACGATATATTATACTGCAACGAAAATATTGATTAATTTTAATAAGATTATATAAAATAAAAAAGAAAACGCAATAGCCTAATGTTTCTTGCAAAATGAACTGCACAAGGGATTTTTTTATATATAAGAATACTTCGTAACAGCAACGTTTATGGCATTAACCTTTGTACCGAAAAATTCGAATGCAAAAACGCTGTCTTTTTAGAGGCCAATTTTAAACGAATTTTATACAATTTTACCGCCATGGCGCGACTTTTTTGCGTCATATCTTTTTATGGGCCTTTCGATGTATTTGATCAATCGCAAACGCACAGTAAAGAGACTGCAAAAAAAAAGCATCAGATTTGTAAACCGTTTACAATCATTCCAATAATTTAATTCGATTAAAAGACGTGTTCCCTTTACAGGAGCGATACGAAAATAATAACTTGGAAACAATACGAAACGAATACGCCTTATATACGATAAATTTATCGATTATCGTTGGCTAACGATTATAAAACTCCTACCGATTATAAAACTTTCATTGCGATCGCAACGTTTCCTTATCGTAGAGGTTAGTTTTAGATTATTTTGACGTACGCTTTAAAACTTTTATAATCGGCAGGATTGCGATTTTTATTAAAAGAAAATACATATTTAAAAAACTAAGAATTTTTTTTTAAATTTAATAATTTACACAAACAAATTGTATTCTTCGATTATCCATAAAATTACAATCTTACGTTTTATGAAAGGTAATCGACAACCGCAAATTTATAACACAGCTTTAAGATCCATCATTTAAAGTATTTACTTTATTATCTTTCAAAATGCAATTTTTTTTTGTGTCTTCTTTTTTAGAGGAAAAGAAAAAAAGAAGTCGTTAAAGTAAGGTATCAAAATGTTAAGAAATAAGTTAAGACGATCATTCAACATTTAAAGAGTATTTACCACGATATAGCTTATAGTTTATTTTTTAAAGATTATATAATTGAAGCATATCTTGTAAAGTTCATTTACAAGAATTGTATAATTTATTGGCGGAGCGTTTTTGTAAGATAAAATGCAATTTTCAAATTATTATACTTTACTGTATATTTAGAATTTATATATAGGTGATATCAATAGGTGCTTATCACATTCTCATTGAAAATCATATTCCAATTAATTGCGACGTGCTATTAGGTGGAATGATTTTTTTTTTTCTTTTTTATATCAAGAAAAAAAAGAAAATGTGAAATGCATGAATTATATATATTGCCTTTGTACTATCATATCATTTCGTTTGATCGCACATCGTACCTGGAATTTTGTTATATTGAAATAATTTTACAATCGGAGAATGTTTTTAAAATTCTGAAAATTTATAAATGAAGTTTTTTATCAGTAAGAATTCCCAATTAGAATTTAAATATTGATGGTTCGTTAATTCTAATTGATTTACATTGAAAACTTACATAAATTGCATAATAAACTATTAGAAATTTTTATCAGGTACATTGATTACGAAATTAAAAAATTAATCAATCTATGACTTTCAAATTAGTCCTTTGAACTTGAAAATAGTTTGTTACTTCAAGGACATTTAATATGTACATAAGTATATTTATATACATATATATGTATATTATAATTATTCCTATTACGATGTATACACAAATACAGTAATCAACGCAGCAGTGACGAAAGAAATGAAATATTTAAAAATTTTTGTGCAATTATAAAACTTTAATTTTTAAGTATTTGATCATACTCAAGAGGATACATAAAGTATTTACAGATAGAAAAAATGATTAGAATCATAATTTTAATAATACAAATACATTTTAAATAATACAAATACAAAGACCAGATAATGAATGAATATTGAAAAAGAAAATTTTTCTTTAAAAAGTTATATCATCTTGCATTTGATTTGCTTAGTGAAATCTGGGTGATAATTTTGTATACTGACGCGTTACTTGTATATTATAGTTTCAAAATGATTCAATAAAGATTAATTGAATACAGGTAGAAAATGATAAACCTTTCATCATCTCTGCTCATCATCTTTATTATTATATTAAGATTCATAGGTCTTAAATAACATAGTATATCAATTAACTACACGCAATGTTACATTTATTAGAAACTTTTTAACTCAATTTGCATTGAAGTACATACATTATTTAGAAGTCTCTCTCCTATTCCCTGTATAATTATTAACAAGTACACCTTCTTGTAATAACATATAAAACATTTCATATGTCTTAGGTAAGGCTTGAATGAACACAAATATCCTAAGTGTTTGCAAAATTTTAAGTGATAATATGTATATTAAATATTCAAGCCATGATGCTTGACTTATCAATATTTCATATTTTTCGTGAAAATTCATTTATGAAAAATACATATTGTATGATTAAATTCAGTATGGAATTAATGATGCAAAAAATCATCAACAACCTAATAATTATAGATGAATATCTCAATCTGACTATGAACGATCACAGCATCTGCCAGTATGTATGTGTGTATTACCATCTTTGTTTGTTTTTTCTTTTGCATTTTTTTCCATGTAAAAGCTGCTAAGATCGCGTTTCATTGCATAAGCATCTTCTCCATCTGCATAATATTTTGGTTCGACTTCTGATACTTCAAATTGCAAACTGCTTGTATATAAATTCAAAGCTGCCCGATTACTTCTACGAACATGTAAAGAAACATATTTTGCTCCAAAACATTCAACCATTGCTCTAGAAGCCTGATTCATAAGTTTCTGAGCAATACCAAGCCTTCTATGAGATCTTTTTACTGCCAAACTCGTAATGTGTCCATGTGGATTATCCTCACAATCTTCTTCCATTTTAGCAAGAACATAGCCCACTATTCTGCCTTTTTCATCCTCTGCTACGTAACTTAATTGTGGCCAAGAAAGAGCATGATACAAATAATATTTCATTTGATAATTTTCTGGTAAACATTGCAAATTACAATGTTGTATATTCAACAAATCATCTGTTGTAGCACAGCGTATATTTATAGACATTTTGATTACTTATAATGTTATAGATATATAAATGAAAGACAATTTTGCTTTGGTCAATTCTCTTTTTTTGATATATTTTCTCTTATTATTAGTCACTTTTGTTTTAAATTTATAAATGTGATTTTAATCTTTAATCTTTGCGAATTTTTTTCATACGAGATCTACCATTCTTTAAATCATTTACAGGTGAAGATTCACTCATACCACCCAATAGTTCTCGAACAAACCTGAATCTTGAAAGGAAAAACTTCCAAACTAAATACCAACCTGTGAAAAAAGACAAAACAAACCTTTAAGGATAAGAAATCTTGTAAAAATTGCACACCTACACTAAACTTCTATTAAGCATAAAGACTACATATAATTTCAATTGTTATAAAAATTATTTCTAACGAGGACACCGAATTAAAGAATAAACCAAATAATGTAATGGGAATATAATTGATATTATAAACAATAACCAGAGAATTTTATGTTGATATACATATTATAAGAGAAAGATACAAAACAAAATAGGTTTTAAAACCTTTTTAAAACCTAAATTGACGTCGAGATTATGCATACATGTAATGAAAAAGATTAAGTATGTAAGTATGTAGTCAACTCTCCTACTATACCTTCAACTTCGGAACTATATGACTATTCGACAGGTCGGATAACAATGTTTCGAAACACTCTGCATACCGCGCAGCAATAACGGAACGTTACTATCTGTCGTTCTTACCCAGCAGCACCAGGCCAAATACTATGAGTAGACTCGATATCACGGAGAAGGCTGCTAGGACGATTTCCTGCATTATTAATTCCGTACCTCGATTATCAATATACTAACGAACTTCCTAAAATGACACACACGGGAATAGTGTCATAACCTCTTTATATTTTTTGCTTTTTTAACAAAATATTAAATTCACCACATAAAGAAACACGAATGATAAATTTAGCACCACGTCGAACATAAATTTTAACTGCGTTTTTCGTTCACTAGCAGCACGCCATTTTGAATACGTGATGAAGTAGTGTGTATAGGTTATAAATTTTTTTTCCCCCCTCCAATTGTGTAAATAAATTGCACAGCGTAATTTAGCAAGATACATAATCTTTCAAGAATATATTACGTAACTTACCAAAGTCCAGTAGCTTATATTTCTTATATCGATCAACATCTCACATATAAAAACTTGAAAATAATTAAAATAGACAATCGACTTTTAAATAGCCAACGAATAAAGCCGACAGGAAACAGTCATAACCCGCGGTGATATGTGCGCAATCGCATCATTTCCGGAAGAATCCATTAGAGCGGTTTTATTTAAATTTCTAAAAATTTATCAAATTTTTTGAAAATTTATTCTAATATTATAATATTATAACAAAGATATTAAGAATAAAAAGTTCAATAAAATCGTATAAAGCATAGAACATTTTATAGCTAAAATGATATACAGTATATTTATTGCTGCTATATTCAAAGTACAATTAATCAATTTAATCAATAACATATTAAATATTCATATTATACAGAAAATTTTAAATAATAATTAATTCATTAATATTTAATTTTCTTCTTCATCAAGTTCTTCTAGATGATCTAATTTAAGTTGTTTTGATCTATCTACCTTCGCTACACATTTTTCTTTCTTAACTTTTGTCTTTCTTTTCTGACCAACAACATATTCTGGCATAATAAGTTTACTATTCTTAAAGACTGGCTTATCATTGTTTTCAATAATAATTGGTATATTATCTATATTATTAGTATTATTTTCAGGTTTTTTAAATCCAATTTCAGTAGATATCTTCTTTTTCTTGGATTTAAATATTATCTTCATTTGACTTTTGTTAACTAAATCAGATTCATTTATATCCATTTTTTCTGATTGTTTCATTTTTTCCAACGATCTCCTTGCTTTTAATTCTTTTAAAAATGACAATGCAGCTCTTGTATTACTTTCTTCTGTCATGTCATCATTGGATACATCATCCAAACTATATTTTTTCCATTTATGAGGATTCTTATGAAAATCTGGTATACTTCTATTAAGAGCACGTGGTGCTGGACCTTCTGGTCTCTTAAATATACTTTCTTTACCACGAAATCTTCTTGTTTGACTTTGACGGCCAGCTTTTAAAATTTGAAAGTAGTTTGATTGTTCAATATTTGAATCCATATCTATGGGTTCATTAACAATTTTATTCTTATTACATTCTTGTTCTGCATCTGATAATTTATCAAATAATAATTTTTGTCTGTTTGCAAATGCTGTATCACCACCATGTAAAATAAAATTTCCAGTTGTATGCATCTTATTTATTTAGCACTAATTTTTCAAATTAGATAAAATATTTTATAAATGTAACATAAATGTAACATCAAAATATGATTAACATAAAAAAAGTAATATATAAATTATGTATATACGGCGTACGTAATACGTTACAATAGATTAGAATATTTAATAGATATTTATTTAAACATATGTTTAAAATTTTTATAGATTTTAAAGTTACTTATTGTCACTGTGCTTATTTTTAATATTTAAAGATTTAAAAAACATAAAACTATAATATTGATATTATACTAGGTTGTATGTACGCCGCCATTTTATCTCGAAGATAACTATCGATGTTAAAATCATGGAAAAATTTATATGAATATATATCACTATATATATATATCAATTAAATTTTAATAATAAACAAAATAAAAACATATCAATAAAACATAAATAATGATATTATTATTAATTTAGAAAATTATATTTTCTCAAAATTATAAGAATAAATTTTAATTATTTATGGTATAAATGTCTGTGATTTTATAAAAATAATTTTTTTTATTTAAATATTATTTATTTACTTTAAAATAGATATTATAATACTTTCAAAATAAAAAAATATATATTTATATGATGGATATATTAAACGACACATAAAAATTGGATTGAATAAATTCCGAAGATTTTTAATCATTTTAATCATTTTTAATAGATTAGGTAAAGAAAATAATAATTTAATTAGATATTGAAATCATTTTATGCATAAATTTTACAACAATATGGATAAAACAAATATAGATTAAAAAAATAAATAATAGAAAAACATAGATAAAATAAAAATTCGGAAATCAGCACCATCTGCAGAATACTGTAATTGAAACTAATATATATAGACATATAATAAGAGAAATATATAGAACAAATAATAAGAAAAAAATAGAAATAGAATAAAAATTTTAATGCTATCTTCATATGCTATCGTAAATGAAATCTATGTAGCATCTCTTGAATGCTTTTATATAAAGATATTTTTAATATTCAAAAGATGGCGTAGATGATTAATTCTTACTATCTCTAACCTTTTCTTATTATTTGTTGTCCTTGCCTTCTTGTGTTTTATTTGCGATATTCTGAAGATGACACTGATTTTATAATTTTTATCTATCTCTATTTGCTTTTTTTATCTATATGTTATTTTCATTTACGGTACTCTGGAGATGGCGCTGATTTCCTAATTTTTATTCTATCTTTGTTCTTCTCCCATTACATATTCTCCTTGTCTATACTTGCTAGTGACGTTTAACCATAGACGAAAATTGATCATACTTTCGCCAAATTTTTTTAAAAATTATATATCCAATAATATATCTAAATTTTTAATAAAAAATATAGATTATTACATTTTGGACTTCTAATGAAAATTAATATTAAGATTTTTATGCTCGTTTTATTTTCACTAGAATTCATTATTACATTTGCAATTTTTTTTTTCAACTTTTTTTTGGTTTACAGAAATATACAAAATAAATTGAAAAATATTATCACAAAATTTACAGAAGCTATTATAAATAATCAATGATTCAAAATGAATTTATTTGTTTTTATAACCAATTCGATTCAATAAATTTGAACAAATAATTAATCAGATTATAATATTCTATCGATTTGTAAATAATCTTTAACACACAATAGACTTAGCGATACTCGTATAATCACATTCGATCTTAACGTAATCTGAATACGAGCCGCAGTGAATAAAATTTAACCGATCAAATAGCAACACGAGATTTAATGACTAATGCATAATGGTAACGACAATAAACGCCTACGCGGCTATTTATGACATTAGCTCGCGAAAGGTGCTTGTTAAACGAATATGACAATTAACGTGAAAACGATGAATATCGCTTCAATAATCACGATTTTTTACATCTATTATAATGATGTGATATCATATTTACTAATAAAATTCGATGTTAACAATTATATATTATATTCGGTTTAAACATAAACACTTGATGATTTTTTCTTAATAATAATCCTAATAGAAAAATATACATATATTGGCTAAAAGAAAATAAAAATCTAAAAATGTAAATATAATATTATTCATATATTATTCATGTAATGATATAAAATTAATTTAAATGTCATTATATGTTCAATAATTAAATAAATATAAAAACTATGTTAAGATTTAAAAGCGCATAAGAATATTTAAATTTTGTACTGTTTATCTTTAACAATCATATGATAATAATTTTTATAACTAATAAAGGATAACAGTTTTAACATTTTTTTAAATGAATATTTAAATTAGAATTTTAACTATAGAAATTCTTTAAACAAATCAATCAAGTGTATATTAAATTTAAACCAAATATATTAACCGTACTAACTCTAAATTGATTTTACCCTTTAAAATTTAAGCTCAACATTTACTTATTAACAAAGAGATAAGTCGGAGCTGTTTTAAATGATAATTGAAGTGGACGTTCAAGATATTATAAACATATAAAATCTTGAAAGAAATGATAATTATGAAAAATGCAATCTAAGAATTACTGTTTATAATAATTTGATGGCGCATAGAAAAATTATTGTAAAAACGAAATTTACACTGTTGAACGTCGCACATTCACACGGACCAGCCATGGTTCCACACTTTAACTCATAATTTAAATGCTATACTATACTTTGAACAGCAATTATGAACACAACGAAAATAGCATTAACATACAACAAGATACAGGTAATAGTGACAATGAAAAACTAAGAATTCCATACAGGTTGACTATTATTTTTACAAAAAATTTTTGGTGTTTTTTATCTTTATTTTCATTAAAAATATTAATATATGAATTAATACAGAAAAAAAGAAATCATATTAAAAAATTATCTGTATGGAATTTTTAGTTTTTGATATATAGAATTATAAATAATTTTTAAACATTTTTTTGAAAACTTATTCTTAAAAGTCGTGTAAAATTTTGTATCAAAGATAACGAATAAAATTTTAAATAGATATGAAATTAATCATACTTGATATTATCATATCATTTGGCCCTATAAATGATACGAATTTCAAGATACAATACTCTTTATCAATATTATTTTTTTTTTTTTAGAATTGATCTATTTTAAAATAGTAACTTAAAAACACGATTTTCAAATAAGTTTTTTCTTCAATATCATATCAATGTTAAACTATTACCAAGAAGTTTATAAATATTTGCTTTATATGTAATATAATTTAAAAAAGATCAATATAACATGACTATTATTATTCTATAGGAAAAAGCAAATGTTATTTCTAATGTATGAAATCATCATTGTATTATTTTTGAAACCAAAAATTTTTTTATCAAAATTTATTACGATTATATAACAAGTAAATATCTCTATAAAAGAAAATGAAAATGATAAAATATGTAAACCACAAAACAGTCATTTAAAATTCAAAAACATTTCAATCATATAAAATTCGTTTTTCTATTCTAAGAATATATCTCATCTCAAGGAGGAACGTCATATCTAAAAGCTTATATATAAAACTAACGAAAAACGACATTATTAACATATAATGCATAATTAAATTTCAGCCTCTTTCAGCTTTCTTGTCATTGTATAACGATTATTTGCAAAAATAAAATAAAAAAAGAAAAAAAAAAAAAGAGAACAAATATGAAAACGAAACGAGATCTATAAGACAAGCTCTGAACGATATTTCAGCGATACGATAGCAAATGATTCTTGATATCGATTCAACCCAGAATCATTATCCTTAGTATCTAAATTAGTGAGTCAAAAAAATCAGAATGTTTTACATCATAATGCATTAACAAAAGACTCGGTAAAAAAGAAATTTAATTTTCGGTGGGAGATTCAAGAATCTGCCGATTTCATCGATTCCTCTTTATCTTGGCTTTCTTTGTCGTTCAATCGAAAATACATGCGAGAACTCGTACGAGACAATTACCAATTCTCGCGCAAGTTCTCTGGCCTTGAGTTGCGCATTCCTTTCTTCTATTTTTTCGATTGTCCTGGCATTCTTTCTTTCCTGGTTTTGACATCCTGCAGCTTTGATCCTCGTACGTCCTAACACCGATTCTTGGTGTGCTGGTTAACCTGGGTAATGGTCCACCGATCGAATTTCTAAGCTAAAAACAATATAAAACAATATAAATCTTTTCTATATGATTATTTACATTATCAATCAAAATATTTATTTTTAATTTAATTTCAAATAAATGTGAAATTTTTGAAAAAAGTTTTGATTTTTTCTTTATTGTTTTATTAAATTTTCTTTTAAATGATGAATACACTAATATTTTTATTTTCAAAGTACTAATAAAATGAATTTTTAGCAAAAATAAAATTTATTATATATTTATTTAATAAAAAATATTTCAAAGTATATTGGAATTTTTATAAGATAATGTAAGTTATACTCAAGATATAAATTTATTTACCGTTCTTCTACGTTTATTATAGTATATCCCATTTGGTTTCATATCTTCTGATTTATTATTTATTCTGTACTTTCTAACTGTCATATTGAACTTTGTGAGTAAATACTTCAACACACTACGAAAATAAAATTTTATTATCTAATTTTTTGTTTTCTCTTGCGAAGTATACATATAAATAAGATTTTGTTATTTTATCTTCTTCAATTTTTAGTTTGATATTAAAAATAATAAAAAATTAAAAATTATACATATAGAATCACACTTGTTAAATGTGATTTATATATTATACAAAAAATAGTCGAAAAATTAAATGATTCGATAAATATATTATAGTTTAGATAGAATTTGGACACACTATTCATTAAATCAATGAACTATAGACAGATAGCACGATTTATACTGACTGATACTGATCATGAACGCGGTATTCAGCAGTAAGATAAGTACTAACTCCTGATAAGTAAAGTGTATTTCACTTTCACTGCGATAACACCTCGAACAATATGACTCTTATCCAATTGCGGAAGATTAACGGTAATATAAGAAATAACAACAAATAGAAACAAACAATGCGTATCTTGGCGATTTTTGATCATTAAAAAAATTTGAATAAATAAACTTTTTTGAGTGATACAAGTTCACAAGTTAAAAAAAAATGTTAACATACCTCTTCACTCTCATTATTTCTCGTATGTCCCAAAATTCTAGCCACGATATAAGCCGATTCCTCGCTCGAGAGAATTCCACTTGCCATAGGGCCTTCGATGAATTCTCTGTCAGTCATAAGAGGATATCGAACGCTGTACCATACATCATCGGATAAAGCGGATCTTTTATTGCCAGCCGATGGCTCGACACCGTTTCTTCTGCACTCAGACGCTGCCCACCTGTCCAAAGCGTGAAATAGCGTAGATTCGTTGGCCAATCTCAGGCTGTCACGACATGCCAATTCCTCGACTTCGGCGCAGTTCAATTCCTCAAAGTGTTCCTGGTCGAACACCGCCTCTGGTTCCGAGTCGATCACGTTCAAACAAGCGGTCAGAAGTCGCGTACAGACTGCGGCTAAGATTTCAAGCTTTTAATCATTCGTTCTAATCCTGGGGAAGGAGAAAAGGGAATTTAGTAGATGTTGGAATTGGTTAATGGTATCTCTATTGGATCTCTATTCTTCCGAAAAAGGTAACCTATCGACAAGAAATTTAGAGAGAATGAAATTTAAAAAATATTGATATATGAAAGAAAATAACATCACGATTAGAGGTTAAGGTTGTTCGTATATACTTGTAGTCGAAATCGAGAATTTAGATACGATAGTTAGATACGATAAAAATTGCAATTTTTGTCAGGTAAAAAGATTTGAACGTTAAAAATGATTTAAAAATAATACCTATTTCACCAGCATCGTCTCCAGGTGCTGGAGGAGCTGTGGGTAAATTCGATGATCGATTGAAACCAGAGGTTATGTGGTTCGCATAAAGACTAAGGCCTTGATAGATTTCGAGCACAGTATTCGAGTTCAGATTTCTTTCGAGATATTGAACAGCAAGTCGTGCCAATTCTGGACAAAGATATTGATGAGCTGCATCGAGGGTTGCCCTAGCAGTGGATACAGATTGAAAATTGATCGGCTCGTCGAGAAGATATCTGCAAAGAAGAGACGAACTTCGACTTGGTGCGAAGGAAAACAGTTGCCTTAGAGACATTTCTATTATCGAATTGGAAATTTTTAACCATACTTTTTTCACATTTCTTAAACAATTTTTTTATTCATATTTGTTCGATACTTTAATACGTATATGTATAATATTCTTTTCCTCTTTCGAAGAAAAATTTATAAAATATTAATCCTTTCTTGATATATTCCTATTTTTTTAATTCCATATTACTACTGTTGAGTAAAATATATTTTATATCAAATATTTTCTGTTGAGATTTAGATTGACCAATTCGAATTTTGTAAATTCTAACATGAACTTTTTCGAAATTTACAATATTTGCAATATTTTTTTCTATGACACTGAGATTTAATCATTCTTCGTTTGCAACAAATTATTAGTGAGAATGTTATTAAAATGAACATCCAAAAATAGGCGATTGTACCAATTATTGTCAATGTATATATAGACGTTGCCATAATAGCGCAGTGACTTTTTTTTTAAAGAAACTTTCAAACAAAATTATTTTTTGACAAAAATATTTTTATTAATTATCTTTAAAATATTATAAAGTAAAAAAAAAAAATCAAATTAATCGAATATTTTATAAAACATTCCTTTAAAAAGAAAAAAATTTAATTTCCCAAAGGCAAATATTGAAACTAATCGTATCAATATAACTCTCAACACGTTCGATCAATCACGTATTTACCTGAGCAGATAATCGAAGGCTCTTTTTTCCACGTGTTGAAGCTTCAAAAGAGGCGGAGGATCGCTGGGTGCAGGTGCGAGAGGACCAACGAGCATCGCGCGAAACCATTCTGATCTTTCAGCTAGTCGTTCCCTTTCTACGCAATATCTCCACGTGTCTCCAGGTAGACCGGCCTATATTCAATAAAAAGAAGCGTTCTTCGAGTTTCACGATGTTTTGAATCGGTACAAATTTTATAAACGTAGAGAAACGAATTTATAAAATGCGCGATATATTATTAGAAATTATATCAAATCAAAAAGTTAAATGAAAATATTTTTTTAGTCGCTGTATATTTTTGAATGAAATAATTGATTGATAAAAGATCAAAAAAAAAAAAATCGGTGAAATAAAAGGGTCGATAAAATTTTGATAAAAAGTAAAAAAATTGAGGAATGTAAATGATTATATAAAATATCGTAAATATTCGTAAAACAAACAAGAGACGTGAAATAGAAAAATTAATACCCGAATATATTTTTCTCTTATTTTTTTCTTTCTTTCTTTTTGTTTTTCTTTCTTTACCTCGAGAATCACCATATTACAAGTTGGGGATTCCGTTGTTGAAGTTTCTTCAGCGGCGATAAGAGGAACTTGAGACATGTCTTCCGTCGAGTTTCGAAGGATCGCGATTTCTTTCGAAGAGTGGCGCGCGATTACAGGGAGTATTATGGTCCTCGAGTAAATTCGATTCCGTACACCCTCCCGAATCTTTTGTCGCGACCTTTCAAACTCGATGCATCGTGAGCTGTCGCCTGTGAAAAAAAAAAAAAAAAAAACGTGTGTAAGAAACTCGAGATGAGCTGAAACTTTGAAGAGACCGTGTTGCAAACGAATTAAAAATTTTTAATTTCTTTGCTTGCGAAATAGAAATTTGTAACAAATAAAAGTTATGATAATAAGTGTTTTTCTATTGCGTATAACGTTGGCAATAACAATCGAAGAAATATGAAGAAATTGTTCACGAGAAAGATTAATTTGACAAAATTTAATAAAATATTCTCCGTATTCCATCTGATTGAAATCTTTTTTTTCTTTTTTAATTTTTACGTAACAGAATAAAAATTCGAAGTACATAAATACACAAATTTACGTTATTCTTTCGAAAGAAAATACTTATTAACTAATATCATTTATATCTATATATAAAACTGTTTCGCGAAATAGAACCACAGAAATGAGTTCGATTTTTATTTTTACGCTTTTTATCGTGCAACCTAATGATATTTTGCTGGGTAAATATTACAGTACAGAAAAACTACAGTATCTAAATCATACAAGGGTTTGGCATGCTCACTGTAGATAGCATTTTACGTTTGATTGTCTGCCGATTGTCTTTCATCAAATTAACGACTGGTACACAAAAAAAGAAATCAGAAATTTTTTGATTGATCAAAAATTAATTCATTAATTTTATTGAATTATTTCTTTTATTAACAAGTTCAGAAATTCAATGGATCAAAAGTATAAACATAATTTAAAAAATTTTAAAATCTTCCAAAATATTCCATCTTACCGTTATTATAAGCGATAGTCATATTGATAATGCACATCATAAAACTGTCACCCTTTACCAATACAATTTTTGAATACATAAAATCTATTCGTAGATTTTTCATTTAACTCAACACTCGAATTTCTTCGATTTTATTTTTTTAAAACTTATTCGATAATTTAAATTATATCTCATAAACGTTACATTCGTCAAATTTGTTTTCAAACTTTTACCGCACTTTCTTCACTTAACCCTTCTCACTTCTCCTCTCTCATTTCCAACAACAAGAAACGTATATTACAACAAATCTTCACATTAATTCTACATTAATCGTATCGAATATCTATTTTATCTTTATCCTCCCGCCTTTTCGCTTCGGATTAAATACGATTTAACGTAGGGAGATCATCGCTATTTTTATAGAACGATACGATATAATATTGTTCGTTCTATCGTGAAATCGATATTGATCGATGCGGGAATGGAAGGCAGAGCAACCCTTTCAGAGCGGGCAGCCTCGCTCGACTGACAGATCGATCGGACTCGTGCGACCGCGATGAATGAGTCAGTATACGGGGGAATACGTTTTAATACAAATGTATACGGTTACGTTTTATCGAGTGCGACGACAATTATTTATAAACAACGGGTAAAGGTCCTAAGCGCCGTGGAATGTGGCTCCCCCGAGCCACTATACGCACACGAGAGAAAACACCTTATCGATACCTCGAACCGTCCCGGGACCTTTTGGAATGGAGAAGGATGGGGAGGAGGGGGGAGGGAAAAAAAGGAAGTGGATTGTTTTGTTCCGTTTATCGCCGAGAAAAATGCTACTGTTGCACCTTAATTCTGATTAACGATAATGAAAACAGATTTGAATTTATTTATTTTTATTATTCAACAAAGTGTGGGATAATCTCCTCTCGAAATTTTAAAAATGTCATTGAAAAAAAAAAAAAAAAAAAAAAAAAAAATTACGAGAAATAACACGGTTTGAAAGTAGCATAATCTAAAAGAATATACGTTTGACCTAATCGAAAATTTTTATCGTAGAGTCTAAGTTTCTGTGAGTGAAATATCTAAAATAGATTGAGATAGATATTTGGTTAAAAATTTGATCGACTTTTTTCTCGATTCTATTGGAAATTTCTTGATGAATGTCTTTTCTTTTTTTTTCTTTTAACCATCGTGTTAAATATTTGAATATTGAGATATGCCATTGATAGAAAGTATGTTGTGAAATGAATTTCTTCGTTATGTCATAGAAAGTCTTTATCGATAATACCTCGAAGTATCGAAAACTGCTTTGAACGGCGATTTTATTGTTTGGTGCAATACATAATAGATATTCATACCGCTATAAATTGATTGACTGGTGTACGTATACAACGTGTCTTATAACAAATATCCAATATCTAAAAACAATGATCTTATAACTGTGTTTATAATAATATATCTATACCGGTATAGCTTTACGATGTATTATGTGGTGTCTGATAATTTTTAGAAAAATATCAAAAAAAAAAAAAAAAGATTATCTCTCGTTTCAATGTTTACATAATTATATTTGTTAAATTAATAATAAGAAGGCTCGACGAAATTGTTTATATTTGTAAAAGTTGTATCGTTTAAAAACAACGTGTGTTAATTTTTCGTTTTAATTTTAATAGAAAAAAAAAAGAATATATATTCTCGCATCTTCTCTCTCGTCATTTCTTTTCACGTTCTTTTCATTCAGAGATGAAAGAATAACACATACTGTTGCTCAAAATACAAACAGATTCACTGTTCAATTTCTACGTATTACGTTTCAACAACGTTGTTTCTTTCATTCGAGACGACAATTATGTCTCATTTCATTTTTTCTTTATAAAACATAGAGATATAACAGAAGAAGAAATCTTCGTTATGCGTGTTAACACAATTTTGCATATTTCGAACGAATAATTAGCAATACGTTAATCGGTTGAAATTTCCGAGAGATGCATGAGAGATTCTACTTTTAAAGGCCATAGTCAAGGCTCTGCGCATAATGGAAAATAATAAAGGATTTATCTACAAAGAAGATCTTCCATATATTCATTTTACCTCTTTTATCCCATTTATTTCTCATAATTCAATTTTTTTTTTTTTTTCTTATCTCAATTTGATTATAACTAACATATATTTATTGTACCAATTTTTGTTTGTAATCGCGAAGAAATTTTGATGAAATTAAAAAATGTATCACGTTGAGTGAAAAATTTGTTCGTGGTGTACGAAACACTTGTAGAGAAAAAAGAAAAAAAATTTATTTTCCCTCCTGAAATCTTGGTTTCGTTAAAATTAGAGCGACCAGAGTGGGAAGAATTTAGGTGGACGGAGATCAAATAATTTTAGTAAAAAATTTCTCTCGCCCCAAAAATATCGCATGGAGGCGAATGTAACCTTGAGAATCATGGCGCCAATGAACTCTCTCTAAATTATCCGTGCTAATCTTAATTCAGAAACGTAAAGAGACACACGCCACAGCGTGTTGTTCAATTGAACATTTTGTTCCCCGATTCATATTTTTCCTTTAACAATTTTAAATTATATATCCGACAAAAATTAATTTATTCCTTTCTTTTTTCTTTTTTTTTTTTTTATTAAATCGTGCGTATTTTTTAAATTAAAAAATCGAAAAAAAGATACAATTACTTCTCAGAAATACGTAGTTTTTTTTTTTTTTTTTTTTTTCTACTATTTGTTTAGTAAAATTTTACGCAATAACGGTACTAGAAGTAATTAATACGATACGTGTGCGTGTGTACATGGATATAATTAAGTTAAACGAGCTCCAACGCGGCCTTTTAATTTAATTGAGATTAATTTCTTCATTTTATTATAGGCATCTATGTGCTTTTATCTTTTCAAATGTATGTAAATATGAACGCTTAATTGTACGAATACAAAATTGAATAGAAACAATATAATATAATGACTTTATATTTCATTTATATTTCAGAGATTAATAAAGAGATAAAACGAATGACAAAAAAATATATATATATATATATAAAATATAATATAAATATATATATGTATACATATTATATATTGTATTAAAAAAGATTTTCAATTTTCTAACTGTTTCGAATTATGCGTCAGACAGTACAGTTAAGAATCGAGTCGAGGTATAAACATCGATTTATATGTTATCCAATGCACGTATTTAATTTCTCACGGTTGCATTAACTAGATTCAGACATGTCGATCAGTATGCGCTACGAATAATAATGAGCACTTATATTATATGTGATATAGACGTGATTTATTTTTACATCGAGCGTATCACGTTCTACAACTTATTCATTCCCGTGCTTTTATTAATGTTTCGTTGTGTTCGTAATCAATATTATCATTTGAGATATTGCACAAGCTATTCTATTCAAATGATACGAACATCTCTCTGATTCCTGTTTTTAACAGGAGGTAGAAATGTATCTTCGTATTGAAATAGAAATTATCTATAGGAATTATATATTGAATTGTTGTTCTATACTAGAAAAAAAAAAAGAAAGAGAGGAAGGAAGAAAAGGATAAATAAATAGCTACAATTCCAACAAACTTGAAATTCAAAACTTGAAAAGATAATTTTGTTTATATTGTAAACTATCGATAATAATTTTTAAAGCGATATTTGTTGAACCAATATCAAACGCAAAATGTATCTTAAATAATAAAAATTGTATAAATAGAAAAATTTGTACATAGAAATGCATTACACGTTTTAATAATTCGTCTGATGCAATTCTTGATTGACGAGTTAAAATCTCTCCCGAAAAGGATACAATCTTTCTTAATTTCAGAGCAAGATTTTTTTTCTAGAAAAATGAATTATTTTTCTATTGTAAATCTTATTATTAGAACAATATTTACAGTTTCTTATTCATTTCGAATAATTTTAGTATTAATAAATAAATATATAATAATTAATATAATTTATAAGGATGAAGATTTAATTATAAATTGATCAATAATAATTATGATAATTTTAAGAATTATTTATAGAAAATTAATATTTAATTTAATAAATTTTAATTTATATAGAATTAATTTAATGTTAATTTATAAAATTTATGGTATTAAAAATAATTTTTTTAGGAATAATTTTTGGATATAATTTTTATAAATATACATTATTCTTAATTTCAAGCAAAGAGGGAAGAGGAGATGGGATTGAGATCGTTTTTTTTTTGGACAACAAAAAAGTGGTGAAATTGGTGTAGTCGTTTTGCGAATAAAATATTTCGACATTTTTCTTCGTAGGCGTATGCAACGATCGTGGCCTCGAAGTCTATTGCGGTACATAATATTATTGTCTCTCCTTATTACGTATATATTCTTGTCGAGCAACTTATCACAGCAAATGGTAAAAAGCGGTGCGTGAATTTGTACGACAAAAACACGTGTTACGATATGTTGTACGGTGAACAGGAATGGAGGAACAAAAATGGCAAAAAAATTAAATTTAAGGAGTTAAATTGGGCTTCTCAAGAAGAAAAAAATTTTTAAAAACTTGTATCCGAATTTTACCCGAAGATAAAAATTTTTATGTGTAAAAATCTATTCAAACGTTTTTGCCTTCTTTCTTATGTAAATGCAAAAGTATTATCTTGTGTGTTTCATTTCGTTCGATTGTAAATTGATTTGAATGGAAACGTTGGAAAGAACGAACTCGTAAAACTTTCGTGCGTTTACTTTTTCTTTCGCGCTATCCCATTCTGTCAATGACCATTCATTTCCTTCACAATCGGAGGAGAGGTAATCAGTCGTTTCAATCCGTAAGTAAACCTAATAGATTTAATGGAACAATTAACACACGTTCCACTTTTATAAATAACACTTATCAAATATCCACTTTTAAAATAAATATTTTAATACGATAATACGATATTACAAATTATACGATGCACTCGCAAATTGAAAAGCAAATAAAAAGTGGAACGTTTTGATTATATTTATCTCGTTATCGTTTATTCATTTTTAACGTTTATCTTCATTGAATTCATATTTTATTCTTATCGATGTGTATTTTTAGCATGGGCAGGAAATAAGAATGAAAGAGTATGATGATGAGGATGAAATGTGGAATAAAAAAATAAAATGTCAATCATGATTGCAATTATATATGTATATGAATTTTACAAAGAAAATTTGTCGACAACGAACGATATATAACCGATGAAGAATTGTTTCAGTAATAATCTATTTACTTATGTAACATCATATTGTAATACAATGAGAAAATGAATCTTCAATATCGTCTAGAAAATTTATCGTAATAAGAAACAAAATGAGACGAGTGCAATCTCTTTTTGTGATGTAAGAGTATTGAAGAATTTTTCGTATCCATTGAATCGATTATTTATGTAATATGTTCGTTAAAGATAGGCACAATTTTATATTAAATTTTCACCAAAGGAAAAACATTAAGATAATAAAATAATAGAGATACGATCTTTTTAAGGATTAACAATGTTTCGAGTTTGCCATTCACAA